GTAATGTAGCTTTAATGGACATGTGTATTTAAAGAACCTTACTTATGTATTTGTTTTAAATTATGTGTCATAAAGCTCTAGTTTATAGAATGTTTTATAACTGTTATTTACGTTCGAATGATACCATTTTGTAGGTTTCAAAAGAAGAATGAAGAGTTTTTAAAAATCATGAGTTGTCTCGGCAGCCTAATGTGGGGCCCAATCGAGTTTAGGGTATTACATATGCAATATTGATATTATTCGTACAGTGTTGATATCGCATGGACAGTACCAATATAGTTATTGCAGTATTGATACCAAAGGTAAGAGAAATATCGATACTCTCATGGCAATACCGATATTGCCTAGTGTTTTTCAAATGTGTTCATATTCTAGTAAGCAAAAATGGTATCGATACTTAAAGGAGTATCGATAATATTGTATAATAGTATCGATATCGAGACCCTAGTATCGATACTCACTCAACTCAACGGTAAAAAACAATTAGTTTCTTAAATGCATGACTGATAATCCCTATATTGAGTAGTTTATTTTTGTAGAAAATTAATCTCCAACTAGAAATGCCTACAAACTCATTCCAACATATAAAAACAAGTTGAGGACACTTGAAGAAGGTTACAACACCTATCAAAGCAACCTACTTCAAGAGAAACTCTTTCAATCTTATTTATAATTTTCTCTTGTACATATAGTGTTTTATGAGCTTAATTTGTAAACACCTACCTTTTAGAGGTTTTCTTGTTTACTTTTCTTCTATCTTTTTGTAAAAAAGGTTTGGTTCTAGTTTAGTCATTGAAAATTAGGGATTTGTAAAAGGTTACTCTTAAGCCTAAAAAAAGAAAGAATAAATTAGTGAATTTGGTTGAGAAGTCGAACAACTCTAAATCATAGTGCAAATTTCCTATCATTTCTCTCCATAAACCCTAAATTTTTATTTGGCCAATTCATGCCCTCTTGGTACATTTTAAGTTGATCGATAGAGCAACGAAAATCCTAACACCATACAAAAGTTTAATTCTTGTTTCATTTTAATACATCGTTCAAAATTTAACGATAATTAAAATTTTAGGTACTAAAATGGACCAAAACTAATAGTTTATGTACTAAATGCGTTAAGTTTTTAACGACAATGTACTAAAATGAAACAAAAACTAAATGTTAGATATAGTTTTGAAAAAAATTGAAAGTTTAGGTACTATAACAGACCAAAATTAATAGTTTAAGTACTAAATGCATTATTTACCCTAAATTTGTTTATCATCCCGAATATTGAATCAATTTATAGTTTGATTATATCTTCTCAATATAATCAATATAATTCAAAAAATATGATGCACGATGACATCGATATATTCAAATTTTAACTAAAATAATTTTCAACAAAATGTATAAATGATAAAACATTAAATTATTAGTTTAAAATGAAAATTAACTATTGTGATCATGTTGAGGGGAAGTTATATCGTGTTGCAGTTTTAATATACGACTAAGGAAAGACGTTACCGGTTTTGTTATTATTTTTTAACAAAACTAGTAAAAACATTTACCTAAAACATTATTATTTCTACCTAAAACATTAACATTTTTTAACATTTCCGGTAAAATGCCCAATAATAACAAAACCGGTAGAAAAAAATAATGTTTTACATAGTGGTTTACCAGATATGTTAACAAAATCAGTAAAGCGCCCAATAATAACAGAACCGGTGGAAATAATAATGTTTACGGTAATTTTTTTTACAGATTACAAAATAATAACAAAACTGGTAGCATCTTTCCTTAGCCGTATATTAAGGATGTCGCACGTGAGACTTTCTCACGAGGACACAATTGGGGATGATATAAAGCTGGGATTAGGGATGAGAGATGAGGTCGACGAATTATGATTTGACTTGATTCAATCGGGAAGGATTTTTTTTTTAAAAATCGTGTTTGGGTCGAATCAATTTTTTTAGGTTTATGTTCGGATCAGGTCGAAATTCATATTTATGGTGAAAAATATCCGACCTAAAAAAATATAATTTTATCTTATATATGAAGGAATAGTTGTGATAAAACCCCTCTATATATTATTTTCTTTCAATTAAATTTCTATTTTTATTGAATAAAAAATATATTTTTAATAAATATATTATTTCGAGTTGGGTTCGGGTTTTATCTCAAAAAATTAGGTCATGTTCGAGTCGGGTGGAAGGTGTATATTTGTCGAATCGGATGGAGGATTTATATTTTTCGAGTCGGATCTAGTAGACCGAAAATCTAATCTGACCCATGCCTATTCCTACTAGGGACGGAACTATAAATTTATTAAAAGGATTAAATGATTTTTTTTAATTTTTAGAAATGTATTTTTTAATTGAAGGGTTCTGATAAAAATTATTTATTTATTAAAAAATACAATTTTTCAGTACTAATTAATATTAAAAAAAATTAGGAAGGAACTCATGTTCATGTTGGTCTCTGCGATGTTACGTCGATGGAGAAAGTTGTTCAAATTGGGACAAATTGCTCAACACATCACCATGCAAGTGAAATTGCAACTTGAAAATGTTGAAAATGACAACTTGGTGTTTATTTTATTTTGGGGACCATATTGTTCACGTGGTATTTATAAGTGATATTCTTGGAATTTTCTATTTTTTTATTCAACGTGGAAATCTAAACTGAGGTAGAATTAGGGATAAAATAACTATTGGTCCCTAACCTTAGTGACTTTTCTCAATTTGGTCCTTAAACAATTTTTTTGTTCATATTAGTTTTTGAATTCAACCATTTTTCTCCTTTTTCTAGTTTATTTAGAGTCTTGCTTCATCAGAAAGGACAACAAATCTAAAATTGATATGAAAAATTAGAGACCAAATTGAAAAGAATAAAATTTGTTCTTTCTCATAAGATGATGGTCACTAAATCTTTAATGTTCTTTTATTTTAGTTATTGAACTTTTCAAAAAATTATTGTAATCACTAAACTTTAATTCATTTTTATTTCGGCCACCGTCGTTTGTTGTCGTTTTAAAAGAACCATAAAGTTTAAGATTGGTTGTCAACACAAAGGACAAGTGTTCGATGAACGAAACAATCTCTGGTTAATCTCGGAGGTGAAAAGATTTTGTTTGGCTTCAAGCTGGTATAACAATTGACATTGATGAATCGTGAAGTTTTAGCTTTAGTTTCGATTATGATTTGAGGAGATTATAAGACTTTTTCGATGATTTTGAATTGAAAAAAGAAAGAAGAATAAGACGTGTAGTGCAGTGATCTATTCCGATCAAATAAACCTCGAAACAATGGCATAAACGAATGCGAAAGAATGATCGACGCTTTCCAAATTTATTTAGATTTTTAAGCATGTTACATCAATAGTCGTTAAGGTTCAATTATCGAAATGAATGTTTTTCTTAACTATAGTTACTCCAATAAAAGTTTTTCGGTTTCAATGATCAAAATAAAAATACCCTCAAACTTAAGTGACTATTAACGTAGTTTACCCTTCATGCTATTGTTATTACTATTTTAGTTTTATGGTGTGCTGTTGACGAACGGCGGAGTAAAAGACGCGTAAGCGCATTTACAAATAATGACGTCACTCCTTACTATACCAATTCGAGTTTAGTTCAATCAAATATTAAAAAATATATTCTAATTGAAATAAGAGTTAATTGCATCATGTGTCCCCAAATTATAACCTTAATTTTAAATTGGTCCTTGAACTTTTGAATATTTCAATTTCATCCTAAACTATGATTCTCATTCTAATTAGTCGTTAAACTTTTGAGCATTCTAATTTTATCCTTAACTATGACCTGATTTCTAAATTGGTCCCTAAACTTTAGAATATTCAAATTTCATCCCAATTTCATCCAAATATGTAATTATTATCAATCATAATTTAACCTAAATTTCATTTTTTTCAAACATATAATAGTCTAACTTGGCCTAACAATTTTATTGACAAGGGATTTCATTAGTATATAAATATAGCTTGGGATGAATTAGAATGTTCAAAAGTTTGGAGACCAATTTAGAATGAAGGTTATAGTTTGGGGATGAAACTGAAATAATTAAAATTTTGAGGACCAATTTAAAATGATAGTCATAGTTTATGGATGACTTTAAAACATTAACAAATTAGGGATGATTTTGGAATGGGGTCATACTTTAAGGATATGTGATGTAATTAACTCTTTAAATAATTATTGATATAATTATCGAATATTAATTTCAGAAAATATTTTTGCAATATAATTACATATAAAGGTAAAGTACACAAATGATCCCGACTATAGAACTCTATTTTGTTGAATCTATCAATTATTAAATGATATTTTGACTATATGATGTTTTGTTGAGTCTATTGACTCGAATAATTTTGACAATAGAATAATGTTTTATTAAGTCCCTTCACTGTTAAAAGTTGCAAAACTCTCATTTCAACCTCTAAATCTACGTCGGTCACTGCCTTTTACCATTGACGAAGCTTCACCCAATCTCACCTTTACCAAACGATCGATGATCCTATGAAATCGCAATCAATCGACGTTTGTATCCCGACGAATCCTGCGCAACAAATCGTGACCCTCAATCGGCGACAAGTATGACGACGTATGACTAGGAAGATGGTAAGGACTACATTGGTAGCGATGGTTGTGGCCGGTAAGGATGACACTAGCATGTTAAGATTAGGGATTTAAGATTTTTAAGAATTCGAGTTTTTGTAATTTAAGATAAATTATGTTTTTTTTATAAATATAATGATATTTTAATTTTAAAAAATCAAAATTATTAGAACGTGACACATTTTATTAATCGGAGAAACTTAACAGAAATTATGACATGAACACATAAATTGATAATGTTTATAATATTAAACAACTGAATGATTAAAAAAAAGTTTATACATTTATTTGGCAAAAAAAGAGAAGGTTACTTTCGTAAATACAAGTTGGTGTGTGTGTATATATATAGACACACACAAAGAGAGCAACGCTATGAGGTCCCAAATCAATTGGCATTTAAATCTTGTCAATCCCCCTTTCTCTCTACCAAAAGCAAAACCCCTGAATTCCTCTTCGTCTCTCTTCCTTTTTGTTCTCTACGCTTATTGATTTCCTTCGTAAAAAAACAATGGCCCAAAGAGCCGGGAAGGAAGAAGCCGAGTTCAAGGTGCCCGAAACCATGCCGCTTTGCGTCAACAATTGTGGCGTTACAGGAAATCCGGCCACCAACAACCTGTGTCAAAATTGCTTCACCGCCGCCACCTCAACGACCGCTGTGGTCGCCGTATCCGGTTCCCAGGCGTTGAGATCCGCGCCGTCGCGTTCGTCGAACAAGCGATCCGAGTTTTCACCGCTGAAAACGGCGCCGTTTTTACGGACATCGGGGACGGAGAAGAAGGTCGTGAACCGGTGTTCTGGCTGCAGGAGGCGAGTCGGTTTGACCGGGTTCCGGTGTCGATGCGGCGAGCTCTTCTGCGCCGATCACCGGTATTCAGATCGACACGACTGCAGCTACGATTACAAGACGGCGGGACGCGAGGCGATCGCGAGGGAGAATCCGGTGGTAAAAGCGGCGAAGATAATCAAAGTCTGAATCGTTTTCTCTTCGATTTCTTCCGACCTGGAAATATCAGCTAAGCTTCTGAGATCGATGCTCGATCTCAAAGATCGTTTCAAAAGATCAAATCAAGAGATTCACGTCAAGATTGTTGAAGATGGGGAAGATGATTCTCTCATCTAACTGTTTTTTTTTTTCATTTTACTTTCTTTTCTTTTTCTCGAAAAAAAGGAATTGAAGAATCGATTGTGGGTTAGGATTCTGACATTTTGATTGTTTTAGTATTTGCCTTCAGATGTAACTTCTTTTAAAAATTATAAATTTGTCTTGAAAAATAAATATTATTCTAAATTTTAAATATTTTTAGTATTTGTGAGTTATTTTTAACAAATATTAATATTTATTTACTTTAATAATCATATTTACCTAGATTAATTGAACATTTATTAAAATAGATGAATTATAAGTTCATTTTTTTGTTAATTATATATATATATTTTATTGAATTTAAAAATATAATATTTGATTAATTTAATTTTTCTTTTATTCTAAATTTCAAATGGGCTATAGTTTACCTTCTTTTTCTTTTTCTTTTCACCCTCTAATTCCAAAACTTTACCTTCAGTAATCTAGATCGATTCGGATCGTACATCTGATTTTGATAGGTCAACCTTTCCGTGAAGATTTTCTATATACAACAAAAAAAACTCGAACATGAAATCTTATTTAAACCATATCAAATTATTTACCTTTTGAATTAATCTCGTTGGTATTTATTTTTTATTTTGATGTAGAAATAAATGTAAGTAAAGATAAAAATAATAATCGAAGCAAAAGAAATAGAGAGAGTCTAATAATATTTAATGAGCAATGATTACATTATAACACTCTTTTTATGGTTGTGGTTAGGGTTGTAAATGAGACGAGATTGATCGCAAGCTATTCGAGATTGATTCGATTAAGGCTCGATAAATACTCGGATCGAATGAACTCGACTCGAGCTCTAGCTCGACTCGAGTTCTTAACGAGCCGAAACGAGCTACTCGATATTCGACTCGAAAAGCTCGTGAACAGCTTGAAAATATAATATATTAAGATTTTATTTTTTTATAAATAAATTATTAATAAAATTAATATTTATGTATTGATTTAAAAAAATACAGTAAGATTTCTTGTATTTAAGGTTCATGTTCGAGTTTGAGTTTGGGCTTCAATCGAGTTAAGTTTAATATTTTTTTTTCATTTCGAGCTGCTCACGAGCTTCAGTTTAGGATTTCGAGTTCGAGTCGAGCTTGAAAATTTTAAGCTCGCGAGTTTTCGAGTCGAGTCGAGCTTCATTTCAAAGTTTTTGAGTCGAGTCGAGCTCAATAATACTCGAGCTCGACTCGGCTCGTTTACACCCCTAGTGGTGGTTGCATGACAAGTGAAGTAGAGAGAAAAAACATTGGTCAAACACTTCGGGAAGTTAAATGTGTGATAAAACGTGTTAAGTCATCGGTTTAACGTACTATATTAGTGTTTTATTATCTCAGTAACGAGTATTAATTATGAGTAATCGATTTATTACAAATCGATAATATCATTAATCGATTTATTATTTTTGAAACTTCAATGAAAAAAATAAAAATTTACATTTTAATGACAATTTAGTTTACCCTTGATTTTATAAGTAGAGTAGTAACAATAGTGATGATTGTCTTTTGTCGTCGGTAAAAGTAACATTGTGTTTTAAAATTAGGCATAATCATAAAATAAAAATTTACATTTTAATGACAATTTAGTTTACCCTTGATTTTATAAGTAGAGTAGTAACAATAGTGATGATTGTCTTTTGTCGTCGGTAAAAGTAACATTGTGTTTTAAAATTAGGCATAATCATAAAATAAGTGTTTATTTTTAAATTATTCATGTGTCTAACGTTATAAACGTTATCGTTTAGGTGCTCAGACTGTAACTATCGTTAAATATACCCCTTAAGTTACATTTGTCACTTTTCGTTAATTTTGAAAAATTTATTTAATTAAAAAATATTATATTTATTAAAAACCCTATTTTATCTTAATTATAAAAACCCCAAATCCTAACCCGCTAACATCGTCCTTGTCGGCCATGGCCACCACCGTCGACGTAATCCTTGTCATCTTCCTAGTTATATGTCGTCATACTTGTCGCTGATTGGCAATTGGGATCGCGTGGGATTGTGATTTGCAGCGTAGGGTTTGTCAGGGTACACATTTTGATCGGTCATAGATTGATCGCGATTTCATAGGGATATTGATTGTCGGGTGAAAGTTCGTCGATGATAAATGACAGTGTGGGTTTAGGAGTTAAAATGAGAGTTTTCAAAGTTTTAGGACTTTTTTAAGTGTTTCGAAATTTGTATTTTTTTAAATATAGTTTTAATTATTTTTAATTTTAAATCAAAATTTAAAATTACCATAACGTGACACATATCACTTAACGGAGAAATTTAGCGGCAGTTACCGTCGGAGCACCTAAATTGATAATATTTATAACGTTAGACACCTGGATGATTCAAAAAAGTTTAAACATTTATTTAAAAGAAAGCGGTATATTTTAGACATTTATTTTATAATTGAGCCTTAATATTAAATAAATAGTGCCGCGCATAATCGTCCTCCCTAAGCTAACTTAGGTGTCGCCCAAAAAACAATGGCAAAATTCAAATATGTTGTAGGCCTGGAAAAATATATTAAATTTTATGGTTAGTGCTCGTAATATGTATAGATTATGGATCAGTATTAAATATATTAAATGTTATGGAAAATATATTAAATTTTGAATTTTGAAAATTTAGATTGGAGTGAAATGTAATTTCAAATTTAACGGAATTTCTCTAAACTCAAAATGACTCAGATGACGAGTGAAGGAGAGTTAAGGACTGTTTGTTTACTTCAGAATGATTAAGCACTCAATGATTCAAAGACTGAATAATTTGGCTCTGAATGTAACATGTTGTTTGATAACTAGCTCTGAATGATTCAGAATGTACTTCTGTGCTGAATCATTCAACACTGTTTTACTGAATCAATCAGCACTGAATCATTCAGAGGTGCGAAACAAACGCGCTGAATGTTGAACGATTCAACATTCAACGCTGAATGTTGAACGATTCAACATTCAGCGCTGAATGATTTCATTAAGAGGCAAACAAACAGCCCCTTATACTCAATTCAATATATTTGTTTATTATAACAAGCCCATAGTTTCATTCTTTGTTTACATCCTTTTATAAAAAAGTTTTTTGTTTTTATATAATATTTTATGTTTTTTAATTAATTTATTTAATAATAATATATACATTCAATTTTAAAATAATAAAATATTTAATTTAATAATATTAATTTAATAAATTTTATTAAATACAAAAGTTAATTTTTATAATACTTTAGAGTTATATGAAGATTTTAAATTGATAATAAAATTAATTTATATCATTTAAAAATAAATAAAATAATGGTTTTAAATATTAAAATAATTGTTATTCTCTCTAAGAAATTCAAGTTTGTGTAGTTATGTTTGCCCAACAAAGTATTTGTGTGTTGTCAAAATATTAGTTTGATTTATATCATATAGTACAAATGCTACGCCCCGCATACGAAAGGTGCGCACCTGCGTCTTGTGCCTAGGCTCTAAGGACTTTTTGCGCCCTTAAAAACCAAGGTTAGGGGTCTAATTTTGATATATTAACCTAACCAAACGCGCCCTCGAGTGATAATATAAGCTAGGGAGGCGTTATCAACATTAGAGCAGAGTAATTTGCTATAAATGTATATAAACATAGCAAATAAAAGTCACCCAAGGAACCAACATAACAAGTTGCCAAAAGCCAGACATTCATTATAACGTTTTTCGTCGTCGGTGTCTACAATGATTCTCTTAAACGACGTCAATCGAACTAAATGCAAAGAACGAAAACACCCTAGTACTATACTAGAGATTATGGTGCTTCGACTTCGAATAATATCAAAGGTTTGGAGGTTTGGTTTAGATAGCTTTCAAGAGATAAAAACATGCATACAGGAAGTCTGACTTGAAAATGTTTGAAAATGAGAGTAAACAGCAAAGGAATGCCATACGCTCAATTTGAAGCCGGATCAGATCAGGCTCCATCTGGCTGGATGAAAGGATTGGCAATCTCATCTGTGCCATCGGTTGGTGAGACCAACATAACCGCTGTGCCCCTACAAACCTGCATCGATATATGGACATATTGATCAACTTCAAATGCTATACCGTGTTCGTATCGACATCCTATAAACCCTTCGGATTTTATAAAATCCTATATCGGGTGGCAATCTTATCTTCTTGACACTAACATTTCTCCACTGGATTCCCCAAGAATATGGTTTAGAAATGTAAACAGCCAAAATATTCTCAGGTCATTGGTTCAGGTTATAAAATCCATACGAATCCAGCAGAGAAAATACATGCATTGCTGGTGAAAATTTGGATTACTTCTCAAAATGGCACCATAAAATGAACAAAAAACAGTAAAGGGTACAAAAGGGAAGGGAAGAAAGAACATACTATCAAGCCAAGACGCCTAGTCTGATCAGTAGTCTTCAATGGATCATCCTGGTCTGCAGAGAATCCATAATAGCAGAGCAATTCAATTTTTTGTTTCCATCAGATATATGAAACAATTTCAGAAAGAAAGTAAAGAAGATACCAAACTCTCCCAGAAGAAAGTTTCAGTTTGCAACTGTCCACATTCTTAATTGCTTACAGGACAAATAGAACTAGAGAACAGCAAGTTTCGGCCTACTGAGAATAACAATTGACTAAATACTAACGCAAAAATTTGCTATAAAAAGTTTCCCATAAGTTCAATCATGTGAACAGATTATCCAGATTCCATGTTGCTCGGCATGCAGCAAGCATACACTATGTTTATAATGGATTTGGCATAATGTAGCAACTACCACAAGAATTTATCTGAACGACCAGGTACTAATTGCTCATCTTGCAGCAAGCATGTGTAATGGAAAAACTCTCTAAACATCCTTATCTTCGCCTCTATGAAGCAACATAAGCAATGTATGAAACTTATGGAACAGACTTCCATGCTCTGTTTCCCGGGTGCTTTTGAAGCTAATTAAAGGGTAGCAGGCGACAATCACATTGCAAATTGCAATTTTCAATTTAAGAGGGCAAACTAAATCAGCATCATATCCTACTATTTTTTTCATTTATACTGGGCAGAAAATGAAGCATACACTTCTTTGTAGTATGAGAGAATTGACTGTAGACAGACAATACATAGAAGAATCATAAGAAGAGGTGGAGCAAAAGAGAAGGTGCCAAATAATTCATGCGAGGAAAACAAGTGAAATACTAGCATTGAACCTATACTATGACTAGGGTGAGACTTTAAAGATAAGGGACTAGGGTGAGACTTTAAAGATAAGGGACTAGGGTATGTGTCCAATACAAGTATGATCAAATTTTCTTTTACCATGTATTTGGTGCCCACTTGGAGAGTTAACATGGGTATATCAAGAAAAATGAACATTAAGGGCGACATACCATGAAACTAAAAACTGTTATATAGGTAAATATAGTTACACCTTCTACTTGACACAGATCAGTGAACTTCAAAAAACAAGGTGTCCACACTCCACCATTCATCAAAGAATATAGATCGAAACCTAGCAAGATGTATCATACCACACCAATAAGCATATTTACAATTCACCATAGGCAATTACCTCGAAGAAACTCTACAGCTTCGTCCAGGACAAGATTTAGTAGCTGGTCATATCCTTTTAGGGTCCCTGTGACTGAAACAGTAAAAAAAGGCTCATGAAATAGTTTATACATAAACTCAATCAAACAAATCATATGAAAAAGAAAAATACCTCCATGCATCTAGGGCATATGACATGTTGCAGTACTTGGCATTAGAGCCCGGTTGGTACTATAACTTGATAAGATAACACTAGATCCATGATGTAAAATTACGGTGAACTACCGTACGGAAGAGAAGCCTAAGGCTAATTTGCGGCGAGCTTTAAACTAAAATGTTACCCTATCTACTCTAAAAAGTTGCACAATTGATAATAATTTTGGTTACAGCTGAGAATATTACATTCAAGTGGGTTTTAACCTAAAATGTTGGGTGCATTTCTTGGCGGTAACTCTTTAGGTTGCAACCAGAATAGTTATGCAATTTACATGATATTGATTGGAGAACGTAAAATTTTCAGTTTAAACCTAAATTACTCTACAAAGTTATGCAATATCACAATTGGTAAGTTTTTCTGTTACAATTGATCGCAACCTTTTTTAAAGGTTATATTAACCGATTGTATTTTAGACTCTCAGTCAAATTATTTATATTTGGCAATTCTTTAGCATCTCTCATAATCTAAATCCAACATAACATTCGATTCTCGATTACCAAATCAGCCCTTCATGATGAAAAAGAGAAACCGAAAGCTTAGCAACAGACCTTGTCTACCACCGGTGAGTTTGACCTGAACACCTTTGTCTACAAACTTAGCCAAATCCAATACTGTTTCTTTCCTGCCCGACTGAACAACATAATCATCCATTCCAAGTTATTGTTTTCAATATTAAAAAAAATACAGTAACAATAAGTAAATTAATAAAAAGAAGGTAAACCGGCAATTCTAGGAGAGAGAGGAAGTTACCATATTGTAGGTAGTTTGGGCACCCGTGTGTTAAGATTTCTTTGCCCTTGCAAACGCAGCTCCTTATAGAAGCGGCAAACTGTAAACAAAAAAGAGGCAAATTGAAGTAGTTTCAACTAGCGGCGGAAGCAACGGATCGCGGCCGCAAATCAGTTATAGAAGAGTGATGCCGAGAGCAGATGACTCAAAATCTCTCTCGCTAATCAAAGTATAAATCAATGTTAGAAGTTAAGCTTAGGGTTTCGAAAATTACCTTAATTTGATTTCCTGATCTATAGGGAACTTGAAAGCAAGCTTCTGTTTAGCAGCGGAGTCTGTGAATGTTTAAATTTATAATTTCAGAGGTAGTTTTTATTAAATTGTACATCCTCAAACTATGTTTCTCATTTTAAATTGGTCCCTATTCTTCTGAATGTTCCAATTTAATCCTTAAACTATGACTATCATTCTAATTAGTCCTCAAACTTTTGAACATTTTAATTCCAACCCCAAACTACATCCTTCATTCTAAATCAGTTCTCAAACATTTTCAACATTTCAATTTCATCCTAAATCATATGTATATACTAATCACATTCCATGTTAATAAAATCATCCGGTCAAGTTATATTAGTTAAATTATTTTAATGTCTTAAAAATAATATGGGATTGTTATGCTTTTCACCCTCGATCCCTAAAACCCAAATATTTAATGTCAACAGAGGTGTTGAATCCAAATAACTAATTTACAATGGCTGTTAATAAGTTAGTAATTTTTTATCATAAATAATATTAGTTAAATTATTTTAATGTCTTAAAAATAATAATAATAAATATTTTATAATAAATAATATTATTTATTATATTTAATATTTATAATAAATAATTTTTGAATATAGTATCAAACATCATAAAATGATTTATACAAGGTCATTCAAACATCGAATAATAATTTTTAAAAACTTTTTTATAAAAAAATGTATTTTATTTTAAATTAGGTTTTAGAATATATCTTTATTTTTAGAGAAAACATAATATTAAAGTATATTATCCAGATGAATTAAAATACACTTATACATGACCATTGGTATAACAAATTCCCAACTAACTAATATATGAAGCAAAATTAGTCCAATGTCGTAGGCGGGCTAATTATTTAGTCCAATATGACATAAAATGTTTTTATTTTAGAAATTACGACATTTGTTACAGTGACTTGGAACTCCTCACGTGGACATGACGAGTTTAAATAAAAAATATTTTTTTATTGAAACTTGTCACTCCGACGTCACAAAATCTAATAAAAATATATATTTTATTGGAACTCGCCACTTCGACGTGACAAATTTAAATAAGAAATATTATTTGGGCAAACTCGTCATGGGGACGTGATGAGTTTACCCTACACAGTAATATTTACCGTAGATCTCAAAATAATTTTGAAAATGGCCTAATGTGCCAATTTTTTTCACCAGCGTGGCCTAGTTGGAAAAAAACCAATATATGAAACACAACTAAATCTAACCAAACCCAATGGGTTCGCTAACAACCCACATGGTTCAACATTCACTAACTCAAAATTATAAATAAGAAATAGTATTATAATTACCTAATATATATATATAAATAATAAATAATTATATTATTTTTCGAATTAGGTTTTCTATTTTAAATGAGAGAATGCAATAGTATATTGATAAGGACGAAGCCAGGATTTCAACTTGAGGAGGCAAAGTATAATTTTTTTTAAGTCGGGGGGCAATTTCTTAATTATTATATAAATATTTAAATTATATATATAAATTAAATTTAAAGAATTGATGCAGTCCCACCGCTTCATTGTAATTTCATTTTTAATTAAATTAATATTCGATTAATCAGTGTCAAGAACTCAATCAAACTCGTAATATATACATGAGTTAATTGCATCGTAATCCCTCAAGTTATGATTCTCTCTCTAAATTGATCACTGTACTTTTAAATATTTCAATTTAATCCTTAAACCATGACTATTCATTCTAAATTTGTCATCAAACTTTTTAAAAAAATAGTTTCATCCCCAAACTATATTATTCAATCTAGATTGGTTCCTAAACTTTTTCAACATTTCAATTTTATCCCAAATTACATGTATATACTAATCACATCCCATGTTAATAGAATCGTTAGACCAAGCTATATTATTATATGTTTGAAAAGAATAAAGTTTAGGTTAAATTATAGTTAAAACTAATTACATATTTGGATGAATTTAGAGATGGTTTAAAAAATAGGGAACTAAATTAGAATGAGGGTCATATCAAAAGTTTAAAGACTAATTTAGAATGAGGATCATAATTTGAGGATAAAATTAGAATATTAAAAAATTTAAGGACTAAAATAAAATGAGAGTCGTAGTTTAGGGACATATTATGCAATTAAATCATATATACATTATAAACACAACTATTTTTTTTATTAATCTAGAGTAAATATTAAATACAATACAATATCTGTTCAAATATAATTCTTAGTCATTTGGCATTCCCGATGTTCAAACCCGATACCTTAAAGAATTATAACAATTTATTTACTATCGAGGTGATTTGGTTCGTGTTATAGATACAAAAATTAGTTGGATGAATATAATAACTAATTGTTTAGTATATTAAATTACTTTATAATCATATCCAAATAATAATTAATATTTGCATTATTTGTATATATTATTTTTTGTGGTGATTTCCGAACCTAACCGAGTTGAAGCCATGATCTCTCTCTCATTTTCCGATTTGAAAACCTGGATCGAACCTCGAAAGCTACAGTATCTTGTCCTCTTCAGGTAAGTCATCCGTTTCTTCTTTGCCTCTTCCTTTCACGGCGGTTCCGCCGCCGGTATTGTCCCTTTCCTCATTGTTTTACGTTTCTGTTGTTCAAAATCCGGCAGCCTTCGGATTTACGTTTCGATCGGATTTGATGCTTCCCGTTCTTCATAGATCCGAATCTATCGTGTTGTTATTTGTTATGGAATTAGGTCGGTTTTATCAATTTAGGGTTACATTTCCTTTTTTGGAAAAAAAAACGCAAATTATGTTTCTGGAGAATCTGATTGATCAACTGATGGTTGTAGCCGGTCCTATTTTGATGCTGTTTCGATTTTTTGTCCGTTATGCAAATTTTTCGTTCTAATTTTGTGTTGTTATAATGGTCGTACCTTAAGACTCACTGCAACATCTAAATATGTTGGAAGCTTTTCCTTGTCCAGCAGTGACTTCTTCCTGTCAATAGCGTTTTAAGTGTTTTTTGGATTCTATTTGCCAATGGAGAAAGGAGTGCCATCTAGCCTTTTTGTTAATGATGGTTCCTTCATGGAGAGGTTTAAACAGCTTCAACAACAGAAGGATGACAAAGACAAGCCCTCAGCATTAGAGGAATCTAAACCACCCACTGTTGTAAGAGGGTCTTCAGCTGTCAAGCCTTCTATTGCTTTTAATAAAGTAGACCCTGAACGGAAGACTGCCCAAACTCCGTCGGGAGGCAAACTTGCCTTCAGCTTGAAACAGAAATCGAAGCTTGTGGCACCTCCTGTTAAGTTGGATGCAGATGACCGGGATGCAGGAAAGTTGGTAGATGATAAACCAATTAAAAAGCAAAAATTGGCTCGATCTGATTCCTCTGAACAAGCTTCAAAACGAGTGGATGTTGGTATTTACTGTTTTTTTTTATTGTTGTGTTGCTGTTGGTGACTGTTGGAGTGTTGATACTCAAGGATTTTACATGCATAGGTTGCATGACAGATAAATTTCCAACTAGAATGGGCTTATGAATCCTATCAAAAAAAGAATGGGCTTATGAATGTTTGGATTACCTTTTATTTTGCTTGTGTTCTCTGTGCTCACCGACTTAAATAGAGGTCTAGATAAAAATTATTCTTTTTCTCTTTCCGTAAATAAACAATTAATGGGTGTCTAGGTTAAATAGTCCTCTTCATAAACTGCTGTGATTTATGAAGTCATCTGGCCATCTTCTTTGATCCTAAAGTGGTTGATGAAGAGGGCAAAACATTCTTTGATCTTAATTACCAATCAACATTGGTGGAAAGAGATGTTCAATGAAAGATTTGGAATATGTGGCACGCCTGCTACAAGAGTAGTTTGCATTCTCTTCTTGATACACTTGGTATTAATCAGTTTTATAAGTGATATGCAGCACCACCATCCCCAAGCGATCTCACTGTGAAGAAAGTTGCCGACAAACTAGCTAGTTTTGTTGCGAAACATGGAAGGCAGTTCGAACATATTACTCGTCAAAAAAACCCTGGAGACTCACCTTTCAAGTTTGTTCATTTTGCATCAATCTTTTCTGTTCAATATGCTTGTGCCCATGAGTGCATTCTTTTTCCTTTTGGGTTTCCATGTTTTGTGTATCTGATATGTTACTGTGTTCAGATTCCTTTTTGATGAGAGTTGTTCCGATTACAAATACTATGCATACCGGCTTGCTGAAGAGGAAAAGGCTCTCTCAGAGGACAAGGAACAACAAACCCCTCAAAGTGGTTAGTAACTTTTCCCCCTTGACCATTCTCTCAGCTAGGAACTCTTTGGATCAGTATTCTCTAACTGCAAACTTTGTGTGGCAGTTTTGTCTGATTTAAAAGTTACTTTTACTATTATTTATTTCTTGCTACTCAATTTTCTGTGCTACACCAGACAATAAAAATTGAAGTTACCAGTCATGTATTATTAGGCTTTAATCTTAATAAATTTAAGATTGTTGAATATTTGAAGGTGGTATGTCTTGTTCTTCTGTAATGACATGATTAATGCTTTATGTGGTACAGGCATTTCAGCTTCCAAGTCCACAAGCAGCACTATTAGGGCTGTCCCACACCAATCAAGTTATCAAACACCTGCCTCTGCTTTGTATGATAGTGATGAGCCTAGATCTTCAGTGGGAAGAGCAGGTGATGATGCATGAGATATTTGCTTTCAGTTTTTTATTGTATCAATGAGTTTTGGCTTTCTTTGGCTTGAAATGACTAGGTTTATCAAGTTCTTGGAATAAAAATTATCATTCCTTTATTTCTCCATCATATTCTTCAAATGTCTACTCAATGTGACATCTGTCTGCTTAAAGGTTGTTCATGGTTTTTTATCAAAATAATCTGAAAGTGTTATTGTTCTGTTATTAGGTTTTATTAGGAACTGTTCTATTTTATAAAAAAAAATTAGGAACTGTTCTTTTATTTTTTGGCCAGTCTACACCTATGATTGTTGGTTAATGATATACATCATGTTTTCCTGTTAAATCATCCTTCTAGAGTGGAATTTGATATAAACAGCCATGGAGTATTATCAACTTGCAGTTTTATATATGACACGAACAGACATTAGTAATAGACAATTTTGTTTGCCTGATGTTTTATACACGCTTTTCTATGGTGCAGGCTCATCCAGTGCACCGTCAGGTGCGGATCCTATTGCAATGATGGAATTTTACATGAAGAAAGCTGCTCAGGAAGAGAAGATGAGAATGCCTAAGCAGTCCAAAGATGAGATGCCACCACCTCCTTCCCTTCAAGGTGAATCTTTATCCTGATTGAATTGTGTGTGTGCGAGTGTTCACATGGACACACTGTGTTTTCTTTTCCTTCTAAAACTCATTTCTCTCTTTCTGTTGGTTTAGCAGCTCCTGCGAAGAAAGGTCATCACATGGGCGATTATATCCCACAGGAAGAGCTTGAGAAGTTCTTGGCTGCCTGCAATGATGCCGCTGCACAAAAAGCTTCAAAGGAGACTGCACAGAAGGCAAAGATCCAATCTGATAATGTTGGGCATAAACTCTTGTCGAAAATGGGCTGGAAAGAAGGTGATTTATCTTCTCTCTTTAATATGTATGCTTGCTTATGTCTGGCATGGCAAAGATCAGCGAAACATGCTCGATTTCTATCATATAAAGGTGCGTCATTTTTTCCTCTGAAGGGAGAAGTTTAATATCTTGGCTTCATGGCTTACAGGTGATGGTTTAGGGAGTTCTAGGAAAGGTATTTCAGATCCGATCATGGCTGGGGATGTAAAGATGAACAATTTGGGGGTCGGCGCTCATAATCCTGGAGAAGTGACCCCAGATGACGACATATACGAGCAATACAAGAAGCGAATGATGCTCGGCTATCGATACAGACCCAATCCCCTGGTAACTTTTATCTTTTCCTTTACGGACAATGGTGTGATTCATAAGTAGATGGTGATATTTTGGCCTTGGATCGATCTAATAACATGTTGTTGTGCGTGTGTTTATTTTTATTTGCAGAACAATCCTCGAAAAGCATACTATTGAACACAGTTGTGGAAAGATATCAACTTGTGTAGGCTGTGGGGGTGGAGGAATAACAAAGTAAGTTTGAACGTGGTTATGGCATTATCATATGTATTGTAGATATTTGTTTTCCTTTTATGACTCGGGTTTCTTTTCCATTCGGGATTCGATCCAACTTCATTTCGTTTATTCAGTGTTCAATGACAAGTTTTTGTTTCTGTTTTTTTTTTCGAAAGAGAAAAATCAGTTGGCGATTCAATAATAACTGCGGCCCTTCAACTCAAAAAATAAGTCTAGTTATTGACTAATGTTTTTCATCATTGACCGTTACAGTGTTAATGTGGCAGTCTATGATATTGACATGTCAGTATATGGTGGTTGATACGTGACGGATAATATGACAGATGAGCTAAATTGATTACTCAAACGTGACAGATAAATCGTCACGTTAATGTCGTGGATTGTCACAACATCGTAAATTGTCACGACAACATTGTAATGGTTAAACAACGAAAAAAGTTGGTCGAAGGACAAAACCCTAAATTCTAACTTTAAACTTAACTCTACCATCTTTTCTGACCAAAACCACCTCCATCAACATCTCTTTTTTCATCTCCGTAGTCGTTTGGTGTCGTCCTTATTGTGAAGTCAACGTGGTCTTCCTGATGGTAGTCCTTTGTCGCATTCGTCGGGGTGATTTTGATGTTGATTTCATCGCTTTTATAGTGATTGTTTGTTGGGGAACATGTCTTTAGTGGAGGCGCGATCAGGTAGAAGACCAATCGACGACAATGACGACAGCGAGCAATGGTGGGCATGGTTAGTGGGACTAGATTTAGGGTTTTTAAAGTTTTGGGAGGTTTTTATAATATTTTTGATAATTTTGGGCTTTTCTTAATATTTTTGATAATTTTGGGCTTTTCTTTAAAAATATATATATATATTTTTATGTTTTTTCTAAATAAAATTTTAAAATTTACTAGAGCATGACACGTGTCAGTAAAAAAATTAACGCCATTAACGGTCCGAACGCCTAAAATGATAATAACGTTAGGCACTGAGATGATTCAAAAATACTTTTGACACCTATTCATGGAAAATAATATAATTTGTGTATTAATTTTATATTTAAGCATTTTTTTATTAAGCTGAAGTGATTACAAAATATTATTTATTCTAATACTTTCAACCATTTGACAATGAACATTCAATCATTCGTGTTGTTGCGATCGCTTTTAATTTTAAATATAATTATCAATTTAATTTATCGATTTAATTTATTAATTAAATCTAAATTGAATATTAAAAGATACTAAAAAAAAAGTGATGTTGACACAACAGAATATTATTCATTCATCTCCATAATTTCGACTCCATCCATGCACCCATCACTCACCTATGGTGGCCACTTGAATTCAATAATCTATTTTTAAAGTCATTTAATTAATCAAACATTAACGAACCACATGTTTATAATGCACCCCCAATATAATTAAATAAAGGTTAAACTATATCGGATACCACCGAACTTTAGGTAATGTATCGTTTAGATCACTTAACGTTCAATTTTGTTAATTATAACACTAAAATTTGATTTTCATTTCAATTATACCACTGGCACGTTAAATGTTAACAGACGTGTCAAAATGACGTCCTTTTGGTGAGGTTTCTACGTCGAAAGTCGTTAGTCACGTCATCGTTTCGTTAATGATTTAACGGGTTCAGTGGTATAATTGAAATGAAAATCAAAGTTTAGTGC